GAATGCATATGATAAGGCATTAAGCAGATCATAAGCTTGATTCAGAGCAACAATGGTGACTTCCAGGTAGGGGAGCGGAAAACCACAGACTGGTTTATTTATTCCTCCTGCCCATTAGTTTTCACTGTTGCTATTGTTTCCCCTAAAGCCATCTTTAAAATTTTGTAACGGAAACAATGCTTGAAAGAGAGGTGCTGGCATGCATCTAGGTTTTGCTACACTTTCAACTAGCTCTGGAACCTGGGACAAGTGGCTCTTGTTTGCAGACTCAATTTCCTCATTCAATTAGGTACAGTGGAGGCAAGCAAAAAAGGGGCCAGCGTTTCCGCACACCAGGCAGTATTGTGCCAGATCCTACCCATCTGTCATCTCAATCAATGCCTAGAACATTGGGAAGTGGTTGTTATTTAGTAAGGGGTGAGGAAACAAATACTTAGAAATGTAAAATAATGTTCTCAAAGAAGTGCAGAGCTGGTGTTTGAATTCAGGTCTGCACAGACTTAAAAGCCTAATAAGTAATGCAGTTATGCACCATCCACCTCTTTTAAGATAACATAAAATTAAGATAAATTTGGAATAAAAGAAAATTTAGTTTGTTTTCAAGTAAGCCATTAGTTTCCAAATATTGTTGCACATTAATGACCTTGGATTCTTTAAAAACTATTATGCTTGACTCCTTCTAAAACATTCTCGGTCTGATTGAAAGGAGTGTTACCTAGTCATTGGCATATTGTAAAATGTCCTACATAGTTGTTTTCATCTGAGACATGCAGCAGGTAACCATATTCAACATGAGCTTTATTTTGGGTTGAGATTGTTTGCAAAAGACAAAAATAGAATTAACATAATCTATTGGCTGTTTTTTGTTTGTTTTTGTTTTTGTTTTTAAGAAGGAGTCTAAGATATATTTGGATTTTGAAAAGAATGGAAACCATTTTACCAGGCTTACAATAATCTCATTCTCTTCCTCATAGAAAAAAAAAAAAAAAGGTATGCATACATGCTAAAATAAGGGGACTCACATTGGCCTTCTTCCTCCACTTGCTGACCTAAAACTAAATAATGCCATTCAAAGCAGCAACTCATTCCTTCCATGACACTGTGTTTTCCATGGATTACAGCATTAAATTATAGGTTTTTTTTTCATACCATACTGTCTCATTTCAGACTTACCTTACTCTCTCTCATTGTTCCTTCTTGATAACATCTTTTTTTTTGTATGTTTCTTATGAAATAATCTTATCTGTACAAATAGTTTCTAAGTTGTTTCAAGGTAAGGGAAAATGATGTTCATAATTGTTCTTACTTACACCTCCATCCCTTTCCCATCTCATCTCTGTCATTCTTTATCTCCACTCTTGGGCTTTACATGAAACTATAATAAGTCTCTCATAGGACCTACATCTGCAGCTGGTGAAATATATGAGAAACAGAGTTTACAGTCATGTTTTCTAAAAAGCAATGAAATTACTGACATCAAAAACTATTCCAGTTGGTCTCAAGGGCAAGGATTCAAGCAAGAAGAGCCTTTGGATTCAGATTATCTGAATCTTGAGGTGCAGTAAAGTTGGAATAGGTCAAAGTCCACAGAAATTTATTTTCTGTCTAAGGCTAGGCTCACCCAGGACATCAGTAACCTGATCTTGAACACAGCTTTTTCTTGATGTTACATGACAATGAGACTGGGTAAAAATTCCCACTAGGGCCCTACAGCAAAAACTGGATGCCCTAAAGCATAGGATTTGATCACCCCTATTTTAGCACAAAACCTCAAATGTTGTTTCACTTTAAAATTCTTTTAAACCCAGCTACTGTGCTTAGCTGGAGGAGATAGTGAATTCCAACAGCTGACATACACTGTTGTCTAGGGGAATTTAACCCTCTTTCATTTCACATTTTTGAGGTAAATTTCGATTCAAGATTCTTTATTTAAATTATCTGGGTAAAATAAGTTAAGTTTGCCCAGCTTCTGCCCCCAAAATGATATATATTTGTACAGTGTAGTATATTTCTAAATCACTATTTTTCTGTACATTAGAATATGGAATGTCATTCTCTCTTTTTCTTTCTGTTTATTAAAACCTTCCTCAGACTTTAAACCTCACAAATACCCCCGTGAAGCTGTCTCTCACTTTAGCAGCTCTTACTGATCTCTTACTTTAATCTTTTATAGCAAGGATGCTCTACACCACAATAGGGCAATTAATTATTTTATGATATTATTATTATGATATTATTGTGAGCTGAAATCTCTTCATTTCTACCTGTATATGTTTTGGCTTCAGGTTTCAGCACTGACTGGAAACTTCAGAATGGCAAGAGACTTATTTTTTCAACATAATTCTGTATTTATAGAAGATACAAATTCAAGTTTATTTATTGATCTATAATGATTTTAGTTTTGAGAAAGAGAGCAATGGGAGTGATATTAAAAGAGAGAAGTTGGCCTATAGAACAAAGAGTAAATTTAATGAAATCTGGATTATTTACATATAAATTTGCTATGAATTCTCCATGGCATTAGAAAAACTTTGTCCTGGTTCTCTCTCCTTTGCTTTTTTCTAAGTCCCCTTCCTCTGTTGTGACTTGGGTTTGTGCTTTGGGAATGCAAATTATTTCTGTAACATTAGACCAAAGCAAAACATAATTAGAAAGGGAGATCAAAGATGCATCCTCTAGTACATCTCAAGGCCACATATGAATGATTTCTGAATGATCTGCCATTTTACTAAATCATGCCACAGAAATAATAAAAAGTCATGCTACCATATTTAGTCTTGCATTAACCCCTGTATTTTGAGAAGGGTAGTGTGACTTTGTCCAAAATAGTAATGATCCCCTCTAACATTGCAAGTGGACTCTTTGTATTGGCAAACTAAGACTTAGTCTGAAAGCTAAAGAACAAGGGGATACTTTAAAAGACATAAACAGAAATAAAAGTGGAAAACAATGAAAGCAAAGCACTGTCTAGAATCACCAGTTCTCAGGATGCCTTCCAAAGTTATGTGGATTGGCAGACAGTTGAAATATTCATTGTAATAACAGTAAGAAAAGGCTGTTCTGTATAACTGTCTGCCTGGCCTGGCATTCCTACCTTCTTGATAACATGTTGACAGTGTGAAGCCTAATGAAAGTAAAGACAGTATTTTGTCTTAAAGGAAAATACACTGCAGAATTACACATCCATTCTAATCTTCACATATTTAAAAGACTTTAAGTAGGAATAAAAAGACCCTTATCTCAGCCTCTTCATATATGCTAGATGGGGACAAACAAACAAATAAAATAAAATAAAAAAACAAGGCAAACACACACACACACACACACACACACACACACACACACACAACCATAATATTTGGAGATAGACCATACCTTATAAATCAATTACTATAATCTCCTTATTCTGCAGATGAAAAAAGTATGTCCTAAGGAGGTGAAGTAATTTATCCAGGTAACACAATCAAGTCAACTTTACTAAATATGGGAAAATTTAAAAATGGCTTATCATTTCTCATCCAATTTATCATTTCTTTCACTATATCATCATGGAAAAAAGGAACTCTGATCAAAGTAGTTAAGGTTGTGGGATGTATTTTCAGAGAGAAACATAGATGTACTTTTTAAGAAAAGCTTTGTAAAGTATAGATAATTACTGAATGGCTAGTTCAATATGCAGGATTATATAGGGATGATGATGTTGTTGTGAAAATGAATAAAAGAAGACCTCAGCCAAGACTGGAGTCAAGAGGCCTGTAAGAGCAACTCTCATATCCTACCACTGTTTATAAACGTTCCTCCCAACTGCCCCTGTCCAATATGGTTTTGCCATAGCGTGCATGTCCTTAATTATAATTCTCTGATATTTCTGAATAAACCATTTTTTTTGCTTATAAAATAACTTTTTTATGGCCAACAGTGTCTGGCATGCCTTTGTATCTCAGAAAGAAGTAGATTGATCAAAATGTCAGATTTCATAATAGTCACATGTGCTAATTTGAAGTAAATTGTAGTTCCTTGTCTCTATCATCAAAGCCCCTCATTTCCCAAGAAATAAGGTCACACTAGCACATAAAATGTTTAACACATGACTTCCACCCAATTTTGTGACCATTTAATGTGAAGCCTCAGAGGATTAACAAGCTCTCAAACCTCAAGGTCTTGACCCTGGAACAAGCTAGGTATAGAAATCTTCCACCATCCTGAAATTCCAGTAATGAATTCTGTATTACTTTCTGTACCAGCGATTTGGAAAAGTTTAGTTACTATTAGTTTCATTTCATAATTCATTAGTTTGATTGAGTGTCACTAAGCTGAACATCTGGAGACAAATGAAAGGTACATAAATAACAATCACATATTTAGAAGATGGGAAAATAAAAGTCTATTTTGGAAAATGGAATGGTAATAAGCTGCTCTAGAAACTGTGTAAATGAAAGGAAGCCAACCATATTCCACTTTGTCATAAATCCAAGCAAAATAGCTTCATAAGAAATATTTACAACATTCCAACTGGATATGTGTTTTACCTTGGTAACCGCTATGAGTGTGTGAATACCTCCCTGAAATATAATTCCTTATTATGTATATACACATATATAACATATTAATGTACATACTTCTATATTCCCCCAAATATTGTCAATAAAATTTCTTCCTGACTCTGATTTTTGTGTAAAAATCCTAAAGCAGAAAGACATTATGAAACCCACTGACTGTGAAACACACATCATTGTTCTCTCCTCAGTATCTACCAAAACTGAGAACCTTGTACACATTCAACTGGTAGATGAGGTCATACTATTTCTTTCTTTAAAACCCTCAGATGGCTTCCATTTATACTGTTTATCAAATCCCTATTCCTTATTATCATCACAAGACCTTAATTCATCTCTCCTTCCTTATCTTATTTTAAGCAATTCTCTTTTTCCCCTTCTTAGCCCAGTAGATTTTTAAAATTTTTCCATTGAACATAAGAACTTATTCGAGGTCTTTCATACTTGCTGCTCTCTGCTCAGAACCCCAGAATCCTAGACATTTTATTTCTACATCTTTCATGCTAATTCATCCAAAGGGTCTTTTAGGACCCCTTTAAAAAACACTAAACAAACAAACAAACAAACAAACAAAAAACCCTCCATTATTCCAGAAAGGCTCCTCTATAATCATCCTGGGTTCTTCTTTTCACAAGATTTACTTTTAGTCAGAATTTAAAAACTTTTTCTACATATGCATATATATTTACTTTGGTGTCTGTATTCCTCAGTAGAATCTAAACTCCCTGAAACTAGGACTATTATTTTACCTGTTCACCTCCATATCCCTAGTATTTGGAAGAGAGCCTGACTCATAAATTCAAAACAAATGAATTAACCCATTGAAATATGGGACTAAGAACAAGAGAAAATATTAATATCCCAGAGTATACTATATCATCACAGTTAATCTGAGTTTCTTCCTCTAGTTGGAGATAAGAGCTGAACCTGTTTCTCTTTTCTCTACCTCAAGAAAGAGAATCATAAGATCTAGGAAAATAAATGATTGATGGGTAACAACTGATTTCCCACTGAGACCTTCTTAACTTTTATGATAGATAAGTAAAAATCTATTATTGATCCTGGAAGATGGATGCTGCATTCTTTATTTAATACTCCCCTCCCCCCAACACACACACATGATTCTGCTTAAATTAGTATGAGATAGGGTAGACACAGCCAAACTTTCAACAATACCCCCACCTGTTTCTGTGTTCAAATATTTTGGGAATCAAAGAAGAAAATCTCCCATTCTTTTTAACTTAGGAGACACAACACATAATCTATCTTCACTGATGCTCTAGTATAGGGGTGTCAAACTCAATCAGAGAAGGGGCCAAAATCTAAAATCCAGCCTAAATAGCGGGCCGAATGGTTTACTGAACAGTCATAAACTGTCATTGTGATGGAAACGCAGCGGAGTGCAGTGATGACAGCGCGGTGTGGGCCACATTGCAAGGCCTGGCGGGACGGATTTGGCCCACGGGCCTTGTGTTTGACACATGTGCTCTAGTACAAGGAGGAGTCTCCATATGTATTTAAGTATCTATGTATTTATGTAACCATGTCAGGTTTCTCAGTTAAACAATGCTTCCTGAATACCCTTTACATTAATGATAATGTGTTGAGGTCTATATGGTTTAAAAAACAAAGAGAAAAATTAATGAATCTGATTTTACTTAAAGTAATTAAATGCTATTGAGAGAAAACAGACTTACAGGACAAAATGAAATAACTGCACAATCAAATTAAGTGTTGTATGCAAACCTAGCCCATCTTCCCTTGGTATTTACAGAATCATAACTCTAGGCTGAATGACTCTGAGTTAGGATGTTAGATGGTTGAGCTTACTTAGAAGTTATATATGGCCGAAACCGGTTTGGCTCAGTGAATAGACCGTCCGTCTGCGGACTGAAGGGTTCCGGGTTCGATTCTGGTCAAGGGCATGTACATTGGTTGCGGGCACATCACCAGTAGGGGGTGTGCAGGAGGCAGCTGGTCGATGTTTCTCTCTCATCAAATTTTCTAGCTCTCTATCCCTTGCCCTTCCTCTATGTAAAAAATCAATAAAATATATAAATTATATATGCGTGTGAGTGAATTGTATGTGAGGGTTTGGATTTTAACTGTAGATTTATACCAGTTAAAGAAGGTTAAACTTGGCTAGAGCCAAAAATGATCAAGTTCCAAGGCTCATTTATTATAAATAATCTTCAGTAAGTCATTCTAGTCCTCTGCACACTATCAAAGCTCAGGGTGGAGGCTGATCTTTACCAGTGAACTTCTGAGTGTCAGAAATGTGCTACATTAATGGCAGGACTTTGACTAACATCAGTAGAGTTGGCCTCTATGATCGAGTTTGATAGAACTCTCTGCCACACTAAAAAAATCATTCTAGTCCTTTGGCATAAGTTTGTCCATCTCCAATAAAAATAAATCTGAGTTTAATTATAAAGTGACTCAGAAAACCACTCAGAATCTTTCAGAAATAGAAATATAAAATAATAATTTGTCATGATGACAATGAAATTAATGTGACCTGAAGTAGCCATAAAAGGCTTGATTTGCAGGTGAGGCTGGTATTGGTTTCTGAATGGTTCTTAGCATTTGTATGGATTTAAATGAGTGGAAAAATCAACTGAAAGGAGGAAGATGATAAAGATTCCATTAACAGTGACAGAGAGATATAATATTTCTTTTTGAAAACTCTCTTAAACTATTAATTTATATTTTATTAGTTTTTAAATATATTTTTTATTGATTTCAGAAAGGAAAAGAAGGGAAGAAATAAATCGAAACATCAATGATGAGAAAGAATCATTGATTGGCTGCTTCCTGCATGCTTCACACTAGGGATCAAGCCTACAACCAGGTGTGTGCCCTGACTGGGAATCAAACCATGACCTCCTGGTTCATAGGTCGACACTCAATCTCTGAGCCAGGCCAGCCAGGCAACATTTTATTTTATTTATTTATTTTTAAATATATTTTATTGATTGTTTACAGAGAGGAAGGGAGAGGGATAGAGAGCTAGAAACATAGATGAGAGAGGAACATCGATCAGCTGCCTCCTGCATACCCCCCACCGGGAATGTGCCCACAACCAATGTACATGCCCTTGATCGGAATTGAACCTAGGGCCCTTCAGTCCACAGAATGATGCTCTATTCACTGAGCCAAACCGGTTTTGCCCAGGCAACATTTTAAGATGCCCTTGTTTGTGTTACAGAAATATCAGGGAAGACAGTATAGAATCTAATATAGATCTCAGGATCAGGATTCAAATCTTTGCTGGCTGTTTTTCACATTTTATGGCCTTTCCTACACTACTTAATTTATCTGACTCTAATAGTATTTGTTTATTTTTTGGTCTATAAAATGAGGGTTGTATTACATACCTCACAGAATTACTTAAAGATCTAAGAATAATAAATAATAGCAACCATCTAAAGGGATGATAGAAACTGCTGGAATGGGCTGGACATAAACAGGTCCTCATTATGAGAAGTGAAAGATAAGCCTGACTATAGTGTGAGGCGGAGGAGTTTGGTAAGAGAAATTAAAAACTAGAGATATAATGAAATTTTAGAGATGTTAAAAGTCAGGCTGGTGAGTTTGGAATTTATCTTCTATGTTAAATATAATAACTTGTCTTACTTTGCAGATGAAAGAAGGAGATTTGGGGTTAGCCAGTCTCCTGTCCCAATGATGCTCTAATGATATGTTTCCAATCACAATAGTGACATGCACTGAGCCCAGAACTATAAAATTATCCCATGTGGAAGCCCTCACACACATACGTTTAAAATATGATTTGATTGTTTAAGCATTTTATTTAGACACTCATTTTTTTGTAAAAAAAAAAAAAAATATATATATATATATATATATATATATATATATATCCTTCTATAATAGCAAGACAATATCTAGAAGAAAGAAAACCACTAATCAAGCCCGCATAATTTTATTTGATGCTCATATTCCCAGGATAGTGAGAATCTGATGGATTAAAACAACATAATAGACTTATAGCCCTTACAAAACTCTGTGGGATGTTTCTGGTGTGAAAATCAGCGATTTTAAATTCTGGTGAGCAGAAAATATTGTTTGGGCAGACTTTTTAATATTTCTGGTCTTCAGAAACCTAATCTTTTCCCATTTGGGGGTGACAGTGACCTTAAATCAACTATTCACAATATGTTGGCAAGTGAAATCAAAATATATGCTTCGACAACCTTTTTTGCACATCTTCACGGAGGGAAAAAAATAATAAAAGGAGTTCTCTGCCTAGAATATAAACTATGCTGACAATTACACTTGGTCTGCCTAGACATTTCCTGTGCTAACCTCCACAAGGAGAGTAATGCAAAGCTGCCTTGCACATGGGGAAAAAATCAATTTCATAAGAGATATATCTTTATGTGTCATGATCCAGTGTATGATTGTGGCCTTTGATGTCTATTTAGCTGGCAGCAAATTTACAGCCGTAACTTTTAATTCCCAGCAACGAGTGTGGCAAAAATAACTTAACAGTTAAATAGGAACCTTGTGCTCATTGGGTGACTGTAATCAACTGCCAGGAATGACCTTGAAATTGGACATTCCTCTCCGCTTAAGTGCTATTAGCAATATTTTTCAGAAAGTAAACCATTTAGTTGGTTGGCAAAAAATAAAAAATAAAATACCGATAAAAATCTATTCTTGACTACTCTCTAAATTGCATCGCACTATCTGTTCACCAGCTGAGGGTGAAGAGCGTTGTATATTAAAAGATTTTCATTGTGTAATAATGTGAATACCAGCAGCAGTAATTATAAAATCAATAATTCGTAATAAATATGTCCTCCTTATATAATTACTAAATGATTGCAAAACCAATATTATGCACTCGTTAGAATGGAAAAGGTTGCCGTTAAAGACTTTCTATATTACACATTATTGTTCAAATCTTAAACATCCTTGGTCAAATGAAGCAAAGCTTCATCCTCATCAGAATTTAACTAAATGCTACTTCTTCCCAAGCTATGAAAATACATTTGATCAGTGGTGAAACTAAATATTAAAGCACCTGCCTTCAACGAAGTAACTGTGAATGGTACCTCTATCACCTCCTTTGTTTTGTGTTGATCCTGTTGTGATTGTCACCTCAATAAAGGCTTATGTATCCACATTTATTTGCCTCAGGAATTCATCTAATTGCCATTTCCCATGTCTCAGAAAGCCAAACCCATAGAGAAATATCCATTAGACCTTACATTTTATTCACTGCACAAGTCACCCACATTCCCAGGCAAAGTGCTTGTCTTTGGTCTTTGATTGCCTTACTTCTGAATTGTCCATGACCCTGTGAGGCTACCTAGGAGTCCTTGCCGACATGCCAGGGCTACGCACTTGCCAGAGACACTACAGGTGTTGGAATGCAATGCCTCTGGAATCAGAAGACATGGAGTTTAATCCCCTAACCTCACACATTTGTCTTATACAATATTTCCTCAGGAGTCATTAACTCTGGGTGTCTTCTCCAACGCCTCCTCTCCAACTCTGTGACAACAAAATGTAATAACAAGAATTCAATTTAATACTGACATGATCTATTGGGAATTAGGGTCAGATCCCACAAGTTTAAGGACTCTGCCCCAGGATACTGCCTCCACTTCAGATGTCAACTACAAGTCCCTGGCCACCCCCCTTCTGACTGATCTGCTATAGGTAAATTCGGGGCTCCTATGGACCTGCTCCTTGGGTTGGCTAGAAAGGCTCAAGAGAACTCAGAAAAGCACTTTAGTTCCTGTTGCTAGTTTATAGCCAAATGGAAGAGATATGTAGGGCCAGGTGTGCCTTCCGGGCACTCTCTGGGTGTGCCACCTTCCCAGCACATCTCCCCTCTCTGGGGTTGGACAATTGGGCTGAATGTTCTTGGTTTCTAATTAAGATTTGGTCACTCTTGCAACCAGCCTCCATCCTGAAGCTATCTAGGGGCCCACCAAGAATTGCCTCATTAGAAAAAAAAATGTTCTTGTCACTCAAGAATTCTAAGAGATTCGGGACCTCCTCATCACGAAGGGACAAAGATCAAGCAAATATTTCTTATTCAACCACCTCCACTTACTTTACTTGGTAAGTACAAGACAGGACATGTGCTGAGTATTGAGGAATCTGCTTTTTTTGTGGTGAGAAAAATGAATCTGATTACATGCATGCTATAAACAAGAAGGTATTTTTCTAATGGACAAAGTGCACTTGGTAAATTAAAAGGACTGCCACCATGCTTCCATAATTCTTTTTCAGCCCTCAAAGGGAATAAAACAAGAATATAGTAAGTAAATAAACAAGTAAATAAACTCGACAATAAAATCTTTATCACTTCTCTCTGTCCAGAAACATTATACATGATACATCTTTCATAATATTATTTTTTTCCCCTTTCTCTAGTATATAAATGTCATTTTCCTCTTTGGTGGAATGATCTATGTCTAACAAATGTGCCTTCTTTTTTAAGTGAAAGGAGTGTTTGAAGAAATTAATCAACCAATAAATGAATAAATATGCTATGAGGGTTAGGTGTGTCAGTGGACTGGATGAACTGAAATGCTACTACACATTTTGGAAATGTATGAAACCTCATGCTTTTGCCATTCACTTATTTGGAATTATTGTCATTAGTTCTTGCAGGACTAAAGTTAGCACTTTCTGACCATTTAAAAACAAGTTAAATCAATAATGTTAAAATAGAAAAATATTTGTCTCTTTTAATACTGAAGTCCAATAAAATTACCACATTAGCTGCATACATAAAATGAATGGCTTCATTAAGAATGACTCCTTTACCTAGATGAGCATGTTTTGGTTTGTTAAAAGACAAAAACCTGTGTCAAAAATCCCTCCCAGCTTTAAAACAGCATCACTCTATCTACACCCAGAAAACGTTCTATAAATAAAAACTTTTATTAAGCTTTTAGTGTTTTTCTTCACCTAT